ATGGTTTGACAGCAGCTTTCTCAATAAACACTGCAAACTGGCCATATTTGAAGGTTTTAAAAATCATTTCTTTTTGTTCAAAATTCTGACAAACATGTCTCAAGTAAGACCGGGAACAACTTCATTATCCTCCCAACACTTAATGCCTTTTTGTAAAGAAGGCTGTTTAATAACACATTTGCTCTGTTTTCACAACTAAATTATTTCAGTTGGTCACACGTTCCAGTCTTCAGTAAGACACTTGTGTTACGAGAGATAAAAACATGAAAAAGGAAATATATTGCAGAAATCAAAAACCTTATCTACTTCTAGACTCTCTCTCTTTGCCATAATTCATTCAAGAAGGCCCCAAGAATAATTTTTGATGTAAACTCAGCTACAAACATACATCACTATGCTGATAAAAATCACAGGCTAAACTTATGAAATATAGTGACTTTCATTTCTTTAGTGCTGCTAAAATAACTTTTTTCTAAGGTTCAACAGACACAAAAGATAAAAAGGGTTACCATTAATCCTTTAAAAAAAGAGGCAGCTCAGTAGATTAATTCTGTGGTCTGATGATGGTCTTGAAGATGAACTTTTTATAGATTAACTTACTGAATTAATTTGATGAAGATACTGGAAATCATAAAAAAAACAGCATCAAGACAATTCATTTAATACATCTTTGTTTGGGTACTTTACAACATAAATTCTGTTGAATAACTTTGGATTTCTAAATTCTGGCCTCATTAAGTTCAATTTTAAGACAGCAAAAATTCACTGAGGACCTCTCTGCAGGCACAGTGCTAGGATACAGAAAACAAGTCCTGGGTCAATCATGGAGATGAAGTGGGAGAGAGGGGCAGACCTCAAATAGATAAGTACAGCACAGTGTGGGAGGTGCTTTACTATTGGTGTGTGCAAACTCCTGGGGGCAAAGTTATAGAGGGAGAGCCTGACATTTGAGCTGGATCTTGAAGAATGAGTGGGCTGGGCAAGGAGAAATAGAGGTATTTATAAGTTAGTGGGCCAGATTGGATGTGTGTTCCAGGCAGTGTGGAACATCAGAAGCATGGAATTTCAGGTGTGCGTGTGCAAGTAGTTCACAGTGACCACAGCCAAGTTCAGGATGGGAAGTTATGGGCTATGAGCCTGGAGTGGTAAATGTCTATAAAGGCTATGCTGGGGAGTCTGAATTTTATTCTGTAAGTCTGTAACTTTCAAGAATATATTTTTTTAGCAATCTGGACTATAAGGAAGCAAAAAAACCACCAATCAGAAAAGCAAAAAAGTAAAAAGAATTAAAAAAAAATGAAGTCAGTATAAGGAGCCTCAAGCCAACCAACATTCGCATCATGGGGGAACCAGAAGGAGAAGAGAGAGAGCAAGAAATTGAAAACCTGTTTTTAAAATTGACAGAAAACTTCCCTAACCTGCTGAAGGAAAAAGGTACATAAATCCAGGAAGTACAGAGTCCCAATTAAACCCAAAAAGGCCCACACCAAGACACATCATAATTAAAATGTAAAACATTAAAGACAAAGAGAGAATCTTAAAAGCAGAAAGAGAAAAGCAGTTAGGCTTGGCTGGAGTGGTTCAGTTGGTTGAGCATAGTCCCATGCAATGAAAGCTTGCCGGTTCGATTCTCAGTCAGGGCACATACTTGGGTTGTGGGAGTGAATGGAAAGCAACCAATCAACATTTCTCTATCACACTGATGTTTCTTTCTCTCTCTTTCTCTCTAAGCATGTCCTCAGGTGAGGATTAAAAAAAAAAAAAAAAAAGAGGAAAGCAGTTATCTATAAGGGAGCTCCCATAACACTGTCAGATAATTTCTGAACAGAAACTTTGCAGACCAGAAGGGACTGGCAAGAAATATTCAAAGTGATGAAAAGCCAGGACCTACAACCGAGATTACTGTACTAAGCAAAGCTATCATTTAGAATCTAAGGACATATAAAGAGCTTCTCAGACAAGAAAAAGCTAAAGGAGCACCAAACCAGTAGTACATGAAATGTTAAAGGATCTTCTTTAAGAAGAAGAAGATAAAAAGTATGAACAATAAAATGGCAATAAATACATACCTATCAACAATAGAATATAAAAACCAAAATAAAGCAGAACATAGATACAGAGAACATTTTGACAGTTGCTAGATGGAAGGGGGTTGGGGGACATATGTGAAAAAGGTGAACAAATTAAGAAGTAAAGTACAGTAGAGGGAATAATATTCTAATAACTATGTATGGTGTCAGATGGGTGTGAGATTTATCAGGATGATCACTTAGTAAGTTATGTAAAGTCTAATTACTGAGGTGTACACCTGAAACTAATATAATATTCTATGTCAACTGTAATTGAAAACTAAACAATGATTCAAAATTTTTTATCAGTTGATTTAAAAAAAAAAAAAATTTTATTGATTTCAGGGAAAGGAAGGGAGAGAGAGATAGAAACATCAATGATGTGAGAGAGTCATTGATCGGCTGCTCCTGTACACTTCCTGCTGGGGATCGAGACCGCAACCCAGGCATGTGCCCAGACAGGGAATTAAAGTGATGCTCAACTGCTGAGCCACGCTGGCCGGGCTCAGTTGACTTTTTAAAAAAAGAAGTCGTCTTTATTGATTTCAGAGAGAGGAAGGGAAAGGGAGAGAGATAGAAACATCAATGATGAGAGAGTCATCACTGACTTGCTGCCCCCTGCACGTCCCAAACTGGGGACTGAGCCCTCAACCCAGGTATGTGCCCTGCCGGGAATCAAACCGGGATCTCCTGGATCCTAGGTTGATGCTCAACCACTGAGCTACGCCCCGCTGGGCTCAGTTGACTTTTTAAATGCAGAACCCCAACTACAGAAAAGTAGAGCTCTTTTGGTTGAAGAGGAAGCCTTATGCTTAACTCTACCCCACCCCACCCCACCCCACCTCCTACGCAGGCACCCTGGAGGTCCTTCAAGAACCTAGAGCTCTGAGGAAGATGGTTTGAAAAGCACTGTGGTAGGGGACAGGGACTTAGGAAGTGTTTTACTGGGGCAGTGTGCCTCTTTGTTCAGAAGTGTGCCATAATTTCTAGGTCTCTGGAACCAGAGTCCGAGAGGAGGAAACCTTTATAAGACCCACATGTACTGTTTCATCCAGAACCATTCAGTAAGTCTGAAAGGACGACAAAAGATTCTCTTGCTGGAGTGTCAACACTGAAATGGTGGGGCCCACATCTGCTCTGCACCCTCAAGTTAGCACTTGGCCTCACTCATGGAGATGTACTCACTCATTGACTGAAGGAACCTAGGAGGCACCTGAGAGGTGACTGTGCATCTTTTCTTCATTCCCCACTAGCTGGGTGTGTGACATCCTTCCCCTCTCAGGGCATGAGCTACAGCTTTCCTTGGCGCAGTGAGTGTCTTGAGGTGAGTGTACGGGAAACCTGAATGCTGCTTCTAGCTCTTTCCCTAACCTTCCCACTCCAATTTATTCCTCTATGCAACGTGTACGGGATTGTCTTTCATTTCTTAGACACATGAAGAACTTATAAAATGTTGCTTTTCAGAGCATTCTGAGTTCTTGGGAAGAAAGATGCTAGAACAATGACATCTTTATTGGCCGACAAGCTGGAGTGAGAGGGATTAGGAAGAAGATGTTTATTTAAAGACAGAGGGAACCAGGTAGCCCAGGGGCAAGGGCCACAGAGCAGCAGGCAATATTCTCACCAGCCCCTCCCAGCAGCCATCGCAGAGTTGAGGCCTCGCTGGGCTGACAGGAATGGTAGGAAAGGGGGTGGGCTTGGCCCTCCTCCCTTCCCCCTATACCACTAAGTTCTCTCTTCTTGCCAAACTACAGGCCAATGAATTTAAAGGAGACTATGCAGCCCAGCATAGCTGGAACTGACAGAACAGTGAAATGCCCACCCATAAATGAGGCAGTGTGGCATGTGCCCAGTCTGTAGGCCCCCTTCAGGGGCTCTGTGCTCTTTAGGCCCTGGTTTAGTCAGTATTAGCTCAAAGACTAGAACCATATTAAAAACGGTTGCTGGCCTTTGTATCTCTTATCATTCCTTATAACATTTGTTCTCAAATTTAGTGGGCCCTGGAAAAAAGGGGATTAACAAAAATCAGATGTTCAAGTTGTACTCCAAGTTACCGAATCAGAACCTACTGGGGTGGGCAGTGGGTAATTGCATTTTAAATAAACTCCACAGGTAATGCTGACATGGACCAGACTTTGAGAATCGCCATCTCATAGCCTTCCCCAGGCAACTAACAAATCCTCATATATATTTTAAACTTTTTCTTCCATGGAGGAATTTCAGTGTGAACTGTGTCCTTTCTGTCCCTAGATGCGAATGAAGTCCTAAAAATGATTATTGAACTGCTACACTCAATTACTTAACTGCAAAAATATAATATGCCAAAATATACGACCAGACTGTATCTCCTTTCATAATTTAAGCAGAGGATGACCAACCTGCAGCGATCTCTTCTGCAAGACCAGGCAGGGGTTTAATTACGAGCTGGTAGGTCGTGCAACTGCCAATAATCTTGAGGGTGTTGACACTTCAGCATGATGGATATCTAAATCTAGTCTTCAGCTGACAGAGGAAATCCCCCAGCTTCCCTCGATCTGGCACAGAAGGAAGGCAGGTCCTGGTCTGACTGGCTAAGTCCCCCAAAAGGGAAGAGGAAGAGAGCATAAAGCGAAAGGAGGGCTCCAGTGGCCACCGATGCTCAGCAGGAATGCTCGGCAGGAAAGTGCCCCTCCTCCCACCGCCTGCAGGGTGAGGCTACAGGGGTCAGGAGCTGTGAGGTTCTCTGCTGCCATCAAGACTGAGCAGGATGGGGACCATGTCAGGCTCTGGGCACCATAATACAATCCCATTTGATTAAAAGAAATTTCTGGTAATGAATTAAACAGACCCAAGGAAAAAAGGACACGGTGGTAATATATTCTCCTGGCACCCAGCACACAGAGGGGGAGAGGGGGAGAGAGAAAGGAGACATAAATAAAAGGGACTACTCACTGGGGCTTTTTTCTTCAGCAAGGTCACAGGCACAGAGCAGGTCAGAATCGATTGAGATGGGTTTCTGCTTAATCCAAAACTTAGTGCTGGCTTTCTGATTCGTAACAGGGTCTATCTCTACTTTGTCTCCAGAGATACCTGTAAGGCCAAGTGGGGGACAAAAAGAGAAGCCACAAGAAGTGGAAGGTGTAAGTGATTTCAGCTTTATTATTTGACCTGCTTTGTAAATCATAAACTGGATGAACATGAGCTCTTTCTTAGGGCTCCGGGGAATGCCATGGGCTTAAAATAGACATAAGGAGACTCCAAATGGTACACAGAAGTTGCACAGTTTGGTTTCCTGGGTAGGTGAGGTGAGGGGGTGAACAACCAAAAACTATATAAAAAGGTACTAAGAAATATGCCTTCTTAGATATAACACAGATACAATACAGAGATTACCTACGGTATATTCATCCTACATTACCTTTATGTTACAATTACATAAACTATAAGGGTCATTTAAAAACCAATTATGATCAGTGGCCTTTTCTTTTAATCCTCCCCCTAGGATATAATATATATATATGTAATGTAATATATATATATAATATATATAATGTATATATATAATATGTATATTCTAGGGTGAGGATTAAAAAAATAAATAAATGTATATATATTTGAATGATTTGAGAGAGAAAGAGAGAGAGGAAAGAAACATGGATGTTTCCTATGTGTGAAAGAAACATCAATCAGTTGTCTCCTGTACATGCCCTGGCTGGGGATCGAACCTGCAACCTAGGTATGTGCCCTGACCCGGAATCCAACCCTCAACCTTTCTGGTGCAGAGAACAACACTCCACCACCTGAGCCACCAGCTGGGCATCAGTGGTCTTTGTTGTTGTTGTTTTAGAATAAGATCTGGGTTGGAGAGAAATCTGTAATATCACTATGTCTAAACAGCAAAGCTACCAATGAAGGGTTTCTAATTTGGAAACATCTCACAAACTAAAAATAGAAAAAAACCTCTCCCCTTCTCTGACATTCAATAACTCTCCGAGCTGCATTTAAAGGAGGCCACAGGAGGACCGAATAGTTCTCTACATGCAGCCTTCCAGGTTTAAGTGCTGGAGCCTGGCTTCAGGCTGGGGAGGTTGCTGCCCACTGTGGGAGGGTCAGCAGTGGGTGTGAGCTTTATGCAACAAAGACTTTAAAGCAGGGGTCCAGAGTGTTAAACCTGGCACTTGAGGCTTCCCTTTCAGAACTGTGAAAGAGGTGACACACTGCACAGTGAAGGGAAGCACAGGCGTCAGGAGAACAAAGGTAGCGCCCAGGATGGGAGGTGTCCTGAGATACCTGTGGAAATGCACAGCATCGCTTCCCTGGTGCCACCCAGCAGCATATGCCCAGCCTGACTCATGCAATCTAGGCTAAGTGCTCTCTTTCCTCTTCCACCGAGAATTGAGGATTTCTGTTCATGAAGTGAGACAAAACCCTTCAATATGCCTGCCAGAGTGGGCCCCAGATGGAATCTTGAAAGTAATTAATTTTCAGGCCATAGTTTAAAGGTCAGGGTCAAAGTGAAAAGAGCAAAATGAAGTAAAGATATTAGAAATAAAACAATCAAATGTATATACTGTAACAGAAAGAGCAATCAGGGTTAATATGTTTCATTCTATGGATCACCCGTAGAAAATTTTCAATATGTGAGAAAACTTAGGCCAAAAAAAAAAAATCAGATAAAAGAAACAGTTCAATTCACACAACAAACCAACATGCCCCCTCCCCTCAATGACCATAGTCTGAGAACAAATTTAAAATAAGAAAAACAGAAAACATATACAAACAAAATTCTAGTGATTACGTCTGCCACACACTCCATTTGGTTCTATTTCATCTTATGAATAAAGAAATCCTAAACACAGCCAGACAAAGGCAGGACTACAGTGTACAGAGCAGTCTCGCCGGCTGTCTTCGGAGGAGACAATGCAATACGGTTGCTTAACCCTGGTCATTACTCTGTGGTCTTTGGAAAAGACGAACAATTGGTATTTTTTTATTAATCGAATGCTGGAATTTGTCATTAGACATATTTCAGGGACACCATATTTCAATTAGGCATAATGTCATAAGTCCAATGGACTCTGGACGCTCGGGTCTAGATGATTTCAGGAGGGTGAGAATGTATCTGGGACCGATTTTATTACATTTCACTTAAAATAGATTACAACCACCCAGTCACACTCCTCCCCCTCCAGTGTGGTCATTAATTGTTAAAGGTCTGGGCAGTTCCATAGTTCCCCGAAAGAAAAGGACTCACGCCATGGCTGTCAGGAGCAAGTGTGTGTTTTGTCCCCTCTCTGTCTGCTTATTTGGACATTTACAAAAGTGAAACTGAGCAGAGCAAAATAAATGTGCATATCTCTGCTGTGGAACAGACCCTGCCCACGTTTCTTTCTCAGAGAGAGAGGGGGGGAAATCATCGCCAGAGAGTCAGGGTTTTAAAATTTTGTTCTACGGCCCTGCAACTCCTGAAGCCGCAGTCAGTCAATATTGTTAATGTACCTTGTTAATTTGATAGGATTTGTCAGGTAACTCCACTGGAAAATTATATAAAACTGTTCCAGATGAAAAGATGATAGTGACATGAATTAAAGTGATAGAACAACAGTGGAATATAAACCAGAAATGACACCCAAAGTGGCTGTTGATTTATTGCCGTACTGAGTTTGGTTCTGGGCTCCCATGTATATTAGTGCTACAAATCTGGGTCCATTTAGCAGAGGGATGCTCATACATACATCACCAGCTCCTGCTCCAAGCCAAGGTCACTCCCCATTGCATCAATCTTTTCAACAGAGCCTACTTCACAAAGCGGGACTTTAGCAACCATCTCAGATGTAACAGACTCTGTCCTCTTTCATCTTTCTTTTATCATGTAAAGTACACTTTAACTTCTATTATTTTTATCTGCAAATTGTTACTGTATAGTTCATCCATTACGGGCTGTATCTCTACATCAATTGCCTAAGCTCTGAGCCGCCACAAGAACACTTTCCCAATGACGCCCTTTCCTGGGGTTATTGTGCAGTCACTGCTCACAGAGGAGAACCCCGAGTCTGGGGTTTGGGGATGAAGACATGGGAGAGGAATGCATTAGGTTCAAGAAAGGCAGGCAGGTGGAACACCATCTAAACAATCAGTGTGTTCCAAAAAAGTTGCGCATAAATCAGACTTTTTTCTGAATCAAATCACATTTCCCACTGACTTCTAGTTCCAGAGATACTTTATCTTCATTTTGGATTGATCTGTAATTGGCAGGGGCCCCCAACACTTCAGTTTTAAGTTTCTCTGCCCTGCAGGCTTTCAGTCAAGTAGTTAATGATCTGTAAAACACTCTCGCTTGCCTAGAGGAGTCACTATTTAAAGGAACCTGTAGGGGAATCTTTCCTGATGGGAAAAATCCTTTTGTGCAATTAAATAATCTCATCCTATTTGAGATGTGTGCGAGTCTCAGCTTCTTAAAGCAGGGCACATGGCCCCAAAGGACCCTAGTTGCTCTGGCGAGAGAAGTGGCAGCCCCTTAATTCTAGTCCAGGGGGTCCCGAGGCAGTCCATGGTAGGAGCCCGGGTTCCTGAGCACACCCAGACCCCAGTGCTGAAGAGAGAGCCTGTAGAATCCAGCCTGGAAGCAAAGAGACCTCTTCTGTGCCTGACCTGTGTGTCGAGATTTCCTTGGTTGGAAGGAGGAGGCAGCCTGGTGGAGAGGAGACCAGTTAAGAGGCAGGTGCCACAGTTTAGGCCAGGGGCGGAGGGGTGAACATTAACTGGTACCAACCATGTGCCAGCATGATTAAAATCCTTTGTGTGCATTGATTCAAGTCTCAAAACCTTATAAAGTTGGTTACTATATTTATCCCTATTTTATAGAAGAGGAAACTGAAACACAGGGAGGTTAAGTAACTTGCCCAAGATCACACAGCTAAGAAGTGGCAAAGGTGGAATTTGAGAACTAGGCAATCCGGTTCCAGAGTGTGTCCTCTCAGCCACTACACTATTCTGCAGAACTGTGCTGAGTGTTTTACATAACACACCGAGGAGAGGCGAAGATGCTTGTCCAAGGCTGGAGAGCTTTTAGGTGGAAAAGCCATTTTCACACCCAAAGCTTTCCGGTTCCCAAATATGGCACTCTGCCCTGCTCTGCACACACTCATTCAGTTGGGTCAAGAGGACATAAGGAACTCTGCCCACCCAGTCTTTAGTCTCCTCTCTCAATTTTCACCAAGGAACAAATAAATATTCAAGTGTGACAATATACGCACACCTATTTTTGTTCACCTATTTTTGAGCATGAAATCCTATCATTATTACTATTATTGTTGTTGTTATTATTATTTTTGACCACTGAACATGGTTCTGATTTCCGTGGCTACAATTTTGGTGTAAAGTCACTGAAACAAAGGCAGAGGCAACTCCTCAAAGTGTTACTATGCACTATTTTTAAGTAACTCAAATCACAAAATATGTCCTAGAAAACAAGGGAAGCTGGCTTTTGTTAAGTTTACATTTCTCCTTCAACTTAAATGGCAACAATAGAGGATTAGTTGATCCAACCATGACGCAACAGAACACGACCATGAAAAATTATGTGAGAAAAGCTCTGGTTTGGAGAAATTCCTATGTTATGTGAGGACAGAAAGAACATTTATAAAAAAGAGATAAAAAAGATATGCTCGAAACTGGCCCCAGTGGTCAACTCTTACACCCTTTTCTTTAGTATATTTTCCCAAAATAAAAATTTCACCCTAAATAAAACCAAACCTTTTAAAGAGTTGACTTTTTTTTGGTTTATATTTCAGAATTCAGTATGGTTGAATTCTGTAATGGATAATCATGAAAAGTGACCGTAATTGAAGGTTATTCCATCTGGCAGTTCTCAAGTACCCAAGACCGAGCTGCTGGGAAGGGCTCCATGAGCTGCATTATGCCCAACCGGGTGCCACTCTCACGATGGTGCCTGGAGGCTCCACCCTACCAGAATATTGCAGGTAAGGAAAAAGAGAGCATGGGGCTAGCCCAAAGTGGCCAGGATCAGTCCCTTCCCTCGGAAACAAGGGAGGCCATTTGTCTCCTTTACCAGGTCTCTTTCCCTACCC